GAGGCGGTCATGGCCCTCATGAAGGAAACTACTGTTGTTTTGCTAGATGGGCATGATGTGACCGTCAAATCTACTTCTGAATAGACATGCTGCTGTCAACTTCAGTAGGAGAAACGTCTGTTTCAGTGGCCAGCACGTATTGCAGAGATTCGTAACTTATCAAAGCACTGAGAATAGAAATTGACTGTTGACTGCCCAGCCATTATGGGACCCCCACAGTGCTCCCTAAAGGGAGACAAGGAGCACTGGAGAAGTGCCAAGGTCCAGCTGCAGCCAGGACTAAAAGGTGATTGATCTAGGCACATATTTTCAGGAACAACAATCAGAGGGGAGATTTGTCTCCGATCCTCTCAGCACTGAATCAGAACGGCTCCCAGGGTCTGAAGTGACAGCTGGCATCCCCAGACAAGAAACCTGAGAAGTGTCTGTTCCCAAAGAATTTTAGAGGAAAATATTTGAGAAAAAATGGGGTTTCCAGGAATGATCACATCTGTCCCATGCATGATTGACAAAATGACACTAAAATCACCAAGAGAATCATCAATATTAAAAGAGAGAAGAGAGCATGCGGGCTGAGCGGTCCCAGCAGTGTTCTGCGCCGTCCCGGAGTCCACTGGTCTTTGCTAAGTGAGACTGTCCCTGTGGGCTTTTGCCTCATTTGGAGACCTGTTGGACAAGCACTCATATACTGGTCTGAAACTCGGGCGCGTGGTTCCCAACAGAGAAGGGGTGGGAGGACTCTAAGAGCCTGGCAAGGTGGGAAAGGTTTGGAATGCTGACCAGGATATGACATGCTGTTGTGCTCTGGAACTCACATTAGCCCTGGTTACCTGCTTAAAATTTGCAGAAGATTGGGCCCATCAACACACAGCCACAGTGGAGTTTTGAGGGCCCTGACCCTCCCTGAGAATTTACACGCAGTTAATGGTTGATGAGGGATGGACAGACATTTTCTTCAGTGGTCTAGTCACTAGTAAGGTGCCCGATGCACCTTTCAGCAAACTCTTACTCATACTGTAAATAACCCTAATGCAACGCATTGGATTATGTGAAAGATAAATGATATGGTTCGGTATCAGTAGGAGGTGCCCTTGGAGGTCATCAGAGTCACAAGTACGCAGGAGGTGCTATGTCCCCCTCTCTGTTAGCTGGAGGCTGGCACTTGCTGGCCTTGGAGCTCTAAGACGTGGAAAGTGACAGGCAGTCTTCTGAGCCAATAGGATGGTGAATTTGGGAAGGGTGTTGCACTAGAAGAGCATGAAGATCACATCTTTCTGGAGTGCCAGCCTACAGAAAAAGAGAGCAAGATTCTTGCCATAGAGGATTTAAAAACAAACAAACACTGTTTCATGCCAAATCAGCATGCCAGCCATGTTGCCTTTCTTCTGTGCTGGCATCCTATTCTGTAGAATCATATATTAAAAACTGTTTTGTTAGGACTAGAGAGGTAGTTCCCAGCACCCACGTAGTGGTTCACAATGGCTTATAACTCCAGTTCCAGGGGACCTGACATCCTCTCTGGCCTCTGAGAGCACTGCATGTCAATGGTGTACTTAGATGCATGCTGGAAAAATACTCATGCACATAAAGTAAAAATAAATGAATAAATGAATTATAATAAGCTGTTTTGCTTTTGCTTGTCTTTAGGAATAAAAAGATTTTTTTTCTCATTCCCCCCCCTACAGGGTCTTCTTTCTTACAATCACACACATTAAAAAGACATGAAAGGAAGAGTGGGACTAGCTGGGCAGAGGAACTGGAGGAGTGGGAGGCAAGAAAGGGAAGTGAGAGGCGACTGTGATGGCAATACATTATGCACATGTCTGAAGTGTCATGGTGTGATGCATTATTATATAGAACGAATATATACTAATAAAAACATTCTAGAAAGTGTTCACAGTGATCAATTTTCATAGTTGTATGGCTAGCCTAGTTAGGTTTCTACCATCAACAATGGCCAAAAGCAACTTGTGGAAGAAAAGGTTTCTTTCCGATTATAAGAAGGGAACTCAAGGCAGGAACCTGGAGGCAGGGACTGAAGCAGAGACCAGGAAGGAATGATGCTTTCTGGCTTGTTCCCGATGGTTTGCTCAGCTTGCTTTTTTCATGCAGTTCCAGCTCATGTACCCAGGAGTGGTACCACCCACAGTGAGCTAGGCCCTCTCACATCAATCTCTGCTCTGCTCCTCTCCTGGCAGGCTCAGTCTGCTGGCCATGTTCAGTCTACTGCTTTCTCTCTCTTCTCCGGACTCTTCCAGATGACTCTGGCTGTTCTCTCACATCTATAATAAAAAAGCCTTGCCCTTAACCATACCACGGAGCCATCATGCCATCAGTTCATGCACTTACAAATCATGGTTTAATATTTTACAAAGACTTTTCCCCCTCATTTCTGACATGCTTTTAAAAAAAGAGTTCTAGAAGTGGAACTTTTGAATTAGATTACATACACATTTTTTATGTATCTTGTTACTTTGCAGAAGCCTCCTATTAATTCCTGCCTCTTCCTAAGGGACTCTTGAGAGTTCATGCTGTCTTACTCACGGTTGAATTTCTATTTGAAGACAAATATTACTGATAACACAATGCATTACTGTTAAAAATGTTATGTTGAATGAAGTAAGCTGGATGAAAAAATAGTACTCTGTAGATTTTATGTAAAACTTAAAAAAAAAAGGAGTGCTGGAGAGATGGCTCAGTAGTTAAGGAAGAATATGCTCTTGCAGAGGACCTGAGTTTGATTCCCAGCACCGACACTGGGTGGCTCACAACTGCCTATAAGTACAGCTTCAAGGTCTCTGACACCTCTGGCCTCAAAGGACACCTGCATTCATGTGTGTGTAGGGAGAGAGAGAGAGAGAGAGAGAGAGAGAGAGAGAGAGAGAGAGAGAGGGAGGGAGGGAGGGAGGGAGGGAGGGAGGGAGGGAGGGAGGGAGGGAGGGAGGGAGGGAGAGAGTTTAAAGTGAAAATAAATTGGCTCAGTGGTTAAGAGCACTGGCTGTCCAGAGGACCTGGGTTCAATTCCCAGCACCCAAGTGGCAGCTCACAGCTGTCTGTAACTCCAGTTCCAGGGGATCCAGCACCCTCACACAGATATACAGGCAGGAAAACCACCAAAATAAGTAAGTAAGTAAGTGAGTAAATAAATAAATAAATAAATAAATAAATAAATAAATAAATAAATAAATAAATAGATAAATGTATGTGCTGGACTCTGGTTGTACACACCTTTAATCCCAGTATTCAGGAGGCAGAGGCAATCAGATCACCAAGTTTGAGGCCAGCCTGGTCTACAGAGTGAGTTCCGGGATAGCCAGGGCTACACAGAGAAACTCTTTCTCGAAAACCCAAATAAACAAATAAAAATAAATCTTTAAAAATCTCTTAAAGAGCCGGGCAGTGGTGGTGCACGCCTTTAATACCAGCACTCGGGAGGCAGAGCCAGGAGGATCTCTGTGAGTTCGAGGCCAGCCTGGGCTACCAAGTGAGTTCCAGGACAGGCACAAAGCTACACAGAGAAACCCTGTCTCGAAAAACCAAAAAAAACCAAAAAACAACAAAAATCTCTTAAAGAAAAATACAAACAAAAACCTCTAACAAATATGAATTCAGAGTGACAGAAGGCAGATGAATAAGTGTGTGGGCACTAGAGATGGGCAACCAGAGAGACACTTGTAAGCGGAGTCAGCTCTTTTACTAAACCAATCAGAAGGCGCTTTGGCAAAGACACATCTTCACAGTGTACAAAAAAAATCATTCCATAGTAGACACTGACAAGGAAGCAAGAGTTGTATAATCCTGTGATTATTATTCATATTTTTCATTTCTCTCTATGTCCTGTTTTGTTTTGGAGACATGGTCTAATGTAGCCCAGCCTAGCCTTGAATTATTTCACCTCCCAAATGCTGGGACGACAGGAGAGCACTCACACACAGTTAATTGTTCGACTTGCCATCTACAGAGTTTCCTCTGGATTTATGTGAATACTTCACTGGCTAAGACAGCCTTCCTTTACAATCATCCAGATTTCTCAAGTTTTCTCTCTCATACATGGTGGGACTCGTACAAGATATTTTGTTTATTTATGTCTCTCTTTTTTTGGCACTGGAGATCACCAGCAAGCTGTAGCCCTAGCCATCCATGTGCATGGTAATTTAAAGGAAAAGGATGTACCACACTCCTACGCATCTCTAAGGCACAGTACATTTTTAATCATGATTTTGCAAAAACACGGGGAAAATCCAAATTAGAAAGTGAATAGTTTGCAAAACACAGGAAGAATCCAAATTAGAAAGTGAAATGACGTTACAGCCAAGGCTTCAGAGCTGGTATCAAGCTGGCCTTGCACATCTATCTACTCTTATGTTTATCTTAAGTTACCAGGAGTGATTTAAAGAGTGGAGAGGAAAGATCTTTTTTTAAAAAAAAACAAACCAAACCAAAACAAAAAACCCCAAACCACTAGGAACTGCGGTTTACACCCAGCACGCGGTAAAGAACACCCTCCTTAACTCTCTTGCCCTCCTCCAGTTGTGCTAACACAGGTTCTCTGAGCCAGCAAGAGGTTACAGCGGCCGGCATGAGCTCACGCTGGCGTGACGTCACGAGCCCTTGACGTCAGAAGGCGGTTGCCACGGGGACCGTTCGCCACCGACGGCAGAGTCGTGAAACTCCATCACCCACACGGCTGGGTTTTGGCCTCTTGCGCGGTTGAAGCTGCTGCTTAGAGAAGCTTCAACCTTCAGGGGGCCTCAGGGAGAGAAGAGTGGCGCGGCGGCGGCGGCGGAGCGCTCCATCTCCGCGGCTGTGGGGCCCGGGCCGCGGCCTGGGCGGCCTGGGCGGCGGCGGCGGCGGCGGCAGCGGCAGCGGCAGCGGCGGCCCCCGCTCCGCGTCTCCTCGTCGCTGCAGCGCGCGGGGCCGGTCCGCCATATTGGAGCCGGGGCCGCAGGTTCCGTGCAGCGGCGGCGGCGGCGGCGGCGGCGGCGGGGGCGGCGGCGTGAGGCGGGCCTGGCAGCGGGGCCCGCGCGGCGGGGGAGCGCATGAGCCGCCGCAGCTAGCCTCTTCTTCCCCGCCCACCGCCTGCGCTGGGCCGTCGGGACCCGGCCGGGAGGGGCCGCAGGATGTTCTCTAAGAAGCCGCACGGGGACGTGAAGAAGTCCACCCAGAAGGTGCTGGACACCAAGAAGGACGCGCTGACCCGCCTCAAGCACCTGCGCATCGTCATCGGTGGGTGAGGAGGGGAGCGAGCGGGGGGGGGGGGGGGGTGGGAGGTGGGCGGTGTGCGTGTGTATGTGTGCGCGACGCCTCGGCCTCGCCGGCCCCCCCGCCGGCCCGTCACCCCCCACGCGAGCTCCGGGGTTCGCCCTCGCGACCGAGTGAGGGCCGGCGGCGCCTCTGCCCACGCGCGGGCGGGCGGGCGGGAGGACGGGCGGGCGGCGAGGGAAGAAGGGGCAGCTTGGCAGTTGGCACAGACCCGGTCAGCACCGACCCACAAGAGACCCACGTTGGAGTTCGGGCGGGGGGGGGGGGGGGTCTGAAAAACATCAATACAACAAGCGTCAGGCTAGAAACTTAAGTCCTTGATGAGACTTCAGGGACACTTGGGGGTTGTGGGTAATGGTGTTTAGAGGGCGTGTTGGCCAGATGACTGCTGCCATCCCCACCCAAGGGGAAAGGAAAGCAACGCGCTCGCTCGGGCAGTAGAACCCGTAGTCTTTCAAGTTTTTTTTGGCAGGTGAGGGCCCGGAGGAAGCAGTTACACCTCTTTGGGAAGTGGGTGGTTCCTGAAGCTTGTGGGGAAGGACCCCGCCCTGCTCTTCAACACACTGTTCTTCATTTTGCTGTCCTTTAGAAGGAAAACTAATTATAGAGAACGAGATTCTCGGGAACTGTGCAGAATTCAGTTTTCGTTAAAATTTTCTTAACTGCCGGCCGTCTTCAACTTCAGTGTTTCCAAAGACCAAACCGAGCTGAGTTTGGAATATAAAGTTAAAAGGAGGGTTTTGGATACCTGGTCATAGATAACGTTGATAAGGACAGGACTATGTACTTATGGAACTTTTGGTTCTGTATTTTTCCCCCCAGTGGAGAAATTTGAGATGAAAAGGAAAGTTGACCAGGGCCCATATACAGAATAATGGCATAACTGAGGTTAGAGCCCAGATGCTTGGATTCTCATTCATCTCAAGCTGTCTTCCTAATGACTGCCTGCTTTGGAAAGTGACTTAAACATATAAGTGGTGTGTCTGTTCCAGGGATGTATTTCCTTGGTGTGTTGAGACACCACTACTAACACCCAACATTTGTGTGGTGCTTTACTGTCTACAAAGGGTTTCACATGAATTACTATAATAGATTTTTGTAATCTGTCTAGAAATGAGATCTTACTGCCTTTTTTTTTTTGTGCAAATGAGAAAGTGTAAGTAAGGTAGGCCATGTTTCTACTAAGCTGATGGGAGACTAAATCAAAAATGAAATCCAGATTTTGTGTCTCTTAATTTGTTTTTCATCCTTCCTACATGTATGACAGCTAATCACAAGTACTTACTCCTGTGGTATAATGAGGAAGGAATTTAATCCAGTTATGGAAACCATTTAACTATGGTAGAGGTTTTTAACATTTTATTTTCATCCTGGAGTTGTCATTGAAGCCAGATTTGTCTGAAGAGATACGTCTGAGACATACGAAGTCATCGTGAATGTAGATGGATTACAAAATAATGGCAGTTGGAAACTGGACACTTAGTGCAACTTGACACTCAGTTGAGACAAGCTGTGACTGCATAAATGCAGAAGTAAAAAGCTGAGTTACAACAGGGAGTTGAGAGTTCTTAAACTAACTGCCATGGTTGATTCAGGATTGGTTTCTTTATGTTTCTTTGGCATGTGGTTTTTGTGGTTGTGTGTGTGTGTTCTGTGTGTGTGTGTGTCTCCTAACTTGGGAAACATGAGATATCACACATGTTGGATATTTTGTAGAACTAGCTTCCTCTGTTTGAAAATAGAATACTTAAAAAGAAAAGAAACCTTTTTTTTGCTTTATTAATTTAAGAACTCTTTTTAAAAAATGGAAGTCACTGGAGAGGATATCTTTCAGGACTTTCGGATGTTGAGCATTCTTACAGACACATGCTGGAGGGTAGAAGACCTCACTAAGGTAGTTGTGGAACCATGCTGCCTGACCAGACACACCTTGCCAACAGCAGACAGTGACCATGTCTGGAAACACTTTATTTATTTATTTATTTTCAAGACAGGGTTTCTCTGTGTAGCTTTTGGAGCCTGTCCTGGAACTCACTCTGTAGATCGGGCTGGCCTCGAACTCACAGAGATCCACCTATCTCCCGAGTGCTGCCACCACCACCCGGCTGGAAACACTTCTTCTGTGAGGAGTTGCTACTAGATATAGTATGCTAGATGCTGCTAAATGAACAGAAAAATCTGTCATAGCAATATTCAAGTCCGAAGTGTCAAAATACCAGCTTCTGAGAGCTTGTCATAATGCATACTAAAAGATGGACCCCCAAATGCTAAGCTTGGTTTTAAGTTCTCTCCCTCTGCCTTAGGGCTAGGAATTGAACCTGGGGCTCAAGTGTGCTAGCAGGCACTTTGCTTCTGAGCAACATTTCAGCTTCAATATTTAAATTTCAATAAAAATACTCTGTATTTTTAAACGGTTACAGTTATTTTATTTAAAATGAGATTAATATGATTTCTAAGAAAATGAGTGCGAGAAATGAGTGAACTCTTAGAGGCTTGCCAATTGGTATCCTGATTTGTAGTTGGAAGAGCCATTTTAAATCCTTTTTGGAAATAAGTAGGGATTTAAGTAAATACAATGAGGGAACTGCTTAGTTGGTAATTACACAGAACCATATTGGACCAAACAAAAGTGCTGTTCATTGTGGGTATTTATAGGAGAATTCTGTACATCTAGGTAATAAAGTAGCAACTCCCCTTAGAAAACGTGTTTCCAGACATGACCTGTCTCCTTTTGGCACTACTCTTCTACAAGTACTTTAGTGTGGTCTTCTGTACAGATCCCTACTCACAGGGCAAAGGTCTGGAAGAGTGGTCAACATTTAAAAGCCTTTGAAGATGTCTTCTTCATTGTTTTTCATTAAAAAATAATTATTTTTCGTATGTTCTGCCTTTATGTATGTCTGCACAATATGTGTGTGCTTGGTGCCCAAGGAAGCCAGAAGAGGGTGTTAGATCCTCTGGAAGTGGAGTTACAGATAGTTATGAGCTGCCATGTGAATGCTGGGACTTGAACCTGGGTCCTCTGGAAGAGCAGCCAGTGTTCTTAACCACTGAAACACCTCTTCAGTCCACTTTTTTTTTTTTAAATTCCTTACATTATTAAAAAGCAAAAAGATTCTTTCTCCTTTAAAAATTTATTATATAAAAACATAAAATTTAAATATCCATATCCAGTGTTAACCTTCCACCATAGTGAAAATTCTAGTTAAATGTATAGATTTTAGCCAAGTGTGGTGCTGCACTTTTGATGCTGAGGCTGGAGGATTACACATTAAGAAAGCTATTATAGGGAGTGCCAGAGCAACATAGTGAGATCCTGTTTTAAAGCAAACAAAACAAAACGAAAATTCCTCTGATGGGTTCAGATTTCAAATCTACTGGTTGTTGATATCATATATGATGATATCAAAGATCTGTAGACACTAAAAGGGTTAAGTAGAAAAAGAAGAGGCCGTGTCTGGTTTCTAAAGTTTTGTGGTATCCTTTTTACCTTCCCACTTCTGCTTTACAACTAGTAGCTTTAAGGTAATGGTAGTAAGGTTAGCACATGTAAGGTGACTGACACAGCTCGTGCCAGACTATGCATATTCTGGAAATGTGGGTTTGCTTCTACATAAAGTGGCAAGTTGGAGGTTCGCCATCGGGATTTAAAAATGTAAGTGCTTATTTAGCTAAGAATGGATTATTGCAGTGGTTCTCAACCTGTGGGTTACAACCCCTTACAGGAATCACATATCAGATATCCTGCATATCAGTTATTTACACTACATTTCCTAACAGTAGCAAAAATTACAGTTATGAAGTAGCAATGAAAATAATTTTATGGTTGGGGGTCACCACAACATGAGGAACTGTATTAAAGGTCTCAGCATTAGGAAGGTTGAGAACCACTGGATTACTGCTAGGTCATTTTAACAGCCTTATTAATGTACAGTTGTCATCCAATAAATTGCACATATTTGAAGTTTGTACAGTAATTTTGACATGGGGTACCTCATGAAATCAACATTAGACTTACCCAAATAAGGTAAATATAACTAGGGGCTGGGCATTTAGCTCAATAATAAAGCATGCACTGTACAAGGCCCTGGAGTTACCTTCTCCACAACACAAGAAACAGAAAAAGAGGGCTGAGGCTGTAGCTCGGTGGTAGAGTGCTTGCCTAGCATGCTTGAGGTCCTAGGTTCAACCTCTACTACTGCCAGCAAAACCAAGCAACAAAAGCTTATAGCCAGATACATAAGATAATGAGTATGTCCTTAACCTCCCAAAGTTTCTCCGTGCTTCCCTTCCTCCTCCTCTTCCTCCTCATCCCTGAGCAAGTCTCAGTGTACTCTCTACATTTGCAGTTTGTACAGTTTTAGAGACATGGGATTACATAGCAGATAACTGAAACTTCACTATAGTGTTTTTACTTTTTTTTCTTTTACTCAGCCTCATTATTTTGAACTCCACCTGTGTTGTCCTCTGGGGTGTCAGTGGTTTGTGTTTTTACTCTTGAGTTGTAGTCTGCCAGACCACAGTTTTTCCACTTACCTGTCGATTAACATGTGGGTAGTTTGGGGCTGCTACAAGTGAAGCTGCTGCAAAGTGCACCTGATAGGCATACTTTCCATTTCGAATGGATCGGTACCTCGGAATGGGATGGCTGGATCACGTGGTAGTGGTGTATTTAACATTTAAGAAACATGCCAGCCGAGCAGTGGTGGCATACAACTTTAAACCCAGCACTCAGGAGGCAGAAGCAGGCAGATCTCAGAGTTTGAGGATAGTCAGGGCTACACAGAGAAACCCTGTCTTGAAAAACCAAAAACCAAACCAAAACAACAACAACAACAACAACAAAAAACTTGCCAAGCCAGGTTGCAGTAGCTGATGCCTATAATCTCAGCACGTGGGAGGCTGATCGAGAAGGATTGCCTTAAGTTTGAAGCTAGTAGAAGCTACATAATGAGTTATAGTCT